TCCTCCAGAAAGTGGAAAGTTTCAAACTCTTGGTGAAAACCTTTTAACTAACCTTTAACATTAACACGACAGCTAGGGAAAGAGTGAAAATAGTAAAAATGGCACTGGCAATTCGCAGAGTGGTCGCCAGCAGAACGAAAGCGGCGGAAGCGACGCGACGAGCGGAAGGGGGTGCTACCGCTTTGACCTAAATGGCCGTCCAGTTGGCCGTTGGCCAGTTCCCTATGTCCGTGCACTCGGCATCCGAGGTCTTTACTTATATTTTTCGATATCAATTTCCCCGGGACCGATGAATTAATCGGTTGCCAGTGACGACCAGTTGGTCGCTCGCTATACACGTAAAATGTTTACAGTTGCCGACGTTGCAGAATTAAATTTGTCTTTATGTTTGCGTGGAGGAGCCCGAACAAGCCGTGAGGAACACGTTGTGAAACTGTAAACGAATGGGCCGCTGTAAACAGAGGAACGCGACGGTCCAGCAAACAGAACTACATGTTCTCTCCTCCCTTCATGAATTTCCTTGTTTCTTTCAAGTTTCTACTCGGTAACTCCAGGTTCCAGTCCAGTCGCATTAATATTTTCACAAAAGTATGTTATTTCAGAGTTTTGATGAGTTTCTCGGGACGATGAGAAAAGGCTTCTCAAGATTTACTTGATCGTTATTTTTACAGTAGTTCTCTTCTCACGTTCGTTGTTACTTTTAGACAAATTGCTTCTCTGGACAATTGAAATTACATAGAAAATTATTTTATTATTTTGTTGTTATCAATTCTTTGATGTGACAATTCTCGATGACAAAAATCTCTTAATTCTAGATCGCTAAATTATATTCAATAGATTGTATTCTATTGTTCTTACAGAAATTCGATTCGAAAAAGAGCTTTAAATTCGGCGCGCGATGCCAGCCAATCACAGCGCGTTGTAAAATTCCACGGACACAGTGACGTCACTGGCCAATTAAAGATATTAATTCTTCTTGTATATCAATAATTTTGAAAAAGTGCTTTAAATTCGACACGTAGTGCCAGCCAATCAGAATATATTTTTTAAAAATCAAACGTACCCACTGACGTCAGTTGCCAATTACAGATATTAATTCTTCTTGTACATCATTAACTCTTAATACGATTCGAAAAACACGCTTCAAATTCGGCGCGTAGCGCCAGCCAATCACAGCGCGTTGTAAAATTCCACGGACCCAGTGACGTCACTG